GGAAGGCACAAACATTGAACCCGCACCGCCCGCCGTCCTACCCACCATCACTCCCTTCCTTCCCCCTCCCAGATCGCTCAAAAGGCAAAGGTGATGAAGACTCTTAAGTGATCTATACGGTAAAGCAATGGACCCCCATTCGCATGTTAATAAATTTCAAGATTTTACATCAACCTTAAGCTCATGTATTTAGTTAAGTACATGATGATGATGACTTGGTAAGGGAAGGAATCGAAATTGCACAGTGTGAGAGTAGAACAATATTACAAACATATATTTTTATCGAAATAAAAAAAAATTAATCTACCTCCCAATGATTAAATGTTTGTATGGTTTATCAGTAGAGATGTGCGAGCACAGGTTTTTCAGGTTGAGTTGAGTTCGAGTCAAGTAATTGGCAAAAGATTCGATTCTCGAGTTTGAGTCGAGTTTAAACCAAAAAGATCGAAGGATGAGTAAGTTTGAAATGAAATGAAAAATGATTTATTTAGTCAGGCAAAGTTAGGGCCACATGGCCCTCTCTTACACTTAACCTGTAAAGTAAGTTTAAGTAACCCCTTAGGTCTAGAGCATGTAACTTGTAAAACAACCTTGTTACAAGCTGAAGTACGATTATAAATTAATTAATTGTTAATATTTGTGCAGTAAGATTAAGATGTCAATATAATGCATAGAGAATAATATTAAAACAACAACAATAGAGCTCATAAATGAACTTCGACTTCTGTGAAAAATAGGTAAGTGAGCATATATTTATTTATCTAAAAATTAACTACATTAATCCCTATTGATAAGTAATATTGCATAATATACATGGCTAAAATTACTTAATACTTGCATCTATTAGTTATTAAGGTTGCAATTACAATATAAAGTTTAATAAAGAGATTTATTCTAAAACTTGAAATTTTATTTCCTACCTTTTCACCTTTAGTTTTGTAAGTTTAATATTACCACTATTCTTAGTTGGTGTGGTTTTTGTAACAGTAGGCCTACAAAATTTCCAATGGTTTGACAGTGGTTAAAGGAAAAATAAATTTTTAATATAAGAAAATTAAATTTTTTAATCTTGTATGTTAATTTTAAACAAACATCGTGTCAAAATACTCAAAAATGTATGTTAAAAATAAAGTACTTAAATAGGCCTACAAGTAGCCACCTTACTGTTAAACAAAACAATTGTAGATTGAACATTGTACTGAATAATGTAGTAGGCTCATACAATAGTAGTTATAGAAATCAAATGAAATCTAGACTTAAGGCCCGTCCAAACCGAAGCGGGAAAGTGGCTTGAGCGGGAAGGGGGTGAGTGACCGGCGGGAACCAGCGGCAGCGATACGGGGCGGGAAAGAGGTAGCCCACACCGAAGCTGCAGGCAGCGGGAAGCGGGACGACTCCTCAGTTCATTTTCATCTTAGCTACAGAGTCAGTTCATATCGTACTTATGTGCCAATGAATAACCCTCTAGCATAGTTTTGAGAAATTGACTGTGGGGTTACTTTTAAAGCTGGAATTCCTTGACATGGGGGATGTCAGTTAGTTGTCTCAGCCTTATCAATAACATAAAGTTGTCAATATAATCTTTCTACGGAATGTTAGGTGTAGTAAAATACTTGAAACGAAGTTGGCTTTTATTCTTGAACTGATAGGGGCCTCCTGGTTCATATGGTCTTGCAGCTTCATTGGCAACAAATAATGCAAATTACATAGCAGCAATGGGACATTTCCAAAAAGCAAAAATACTGTAAATTGGCTGTTACGTATATATTGACGTTTACATATTGTAAATCAACGTATCTTATAAAGGATTATGTGATCTAGTTTAAAAGGAATACAGTATGACCTTTCTGTCATGACAGTAGCTGCTTAAATAGTATTTTCTCTTTGTACCATATTTTACAGCCAAAATGTCGTGTTATTTTCAATAATGTTACCAACCCAGTGCGCCAAAGTCCTTAATATAGGCAGGTGCAAATAATTTGTCAAGATGGGTACCATTTTAGGCAAGGTTTCTATGTTTGAATTTTATTAGACACGATAAGAGCAGATATTTCTACATAAATATTTGATATGTGTAGAATAATATGATAAAATGTAGGCAAAAGTGGTGAAAAAGGCAGACACCAACCCGTACAATAGATATAAGATAGTTCAATGAGAAATGATTTAAGAATTGCTGATAAAAGGATTTTCCACTGATTTCGTAATGGAACGTTATATTGCAAAACATGACATGATAAAGAAGAAAATCAATTTTAAAATCAACAAATCGACAAAGAAAATAACATTGCAAATACTTATTTTGTAGAATTCAGTAACTCCAAATAAATGTGTGTTGTTTGAAATACAATTTAAATAGCTTATTCCCTATGGGAAATTCCCTAATAAAAATGAACAGCTGTTTCATTAAAAAGTATTATTCACATGACCAAAATGTAAAAAACTCTGTGGAGGGATCTTTAAAGGCTTCTGGGGCAGAGTCCTAAGGAATTTTGCTTAGTTTTTCTTTTGATAACTCGTCTACAGACCAAGACCTTTCTTTGGACACCTCTACCAAGTTTCTACACCCAGCCGTTCTCACAAATTAGTGGGGTCAAAGTTTCCAATTAAATATTTAGATTACCCCATGTAAATCTTATGGGAGAAACTCCAACTTTGATGGCCTGTGGGGCAAAGCCCGAGGATTTTTATTACATGAATTGGTGAAAGGGGGCGTCTACACAAAAAATACTTTATTTTGACACGTCGTTTGTAAAAATCCGTCCATTATTAACGGAGGAGTAGTGTTTCGTAGAAATCGCCTTCACGTATTATATATAAGGATTTGGCGAAATACCACCATACCTCTCTCTTTTTGTGATGTGGTGAGGTTCGGTAGCTGATTTTGATTATATTGTGTTCTACAAATCGCCATGGATGACATAACAGCCTCTGTTTTTTTTTATTTATGGCTGGTGCATACAATGATACAATGAACTTAGAAGAAAAAGACGAAAACTAACTAGATAGTGGATAAGAATTTTTTGGCTAAATGACCATTGGAAGGCGCATTTAATTCATTAATGAGAGATTTGCGCGTACAAAGTGGCATCATTATTTCCTCCAACGAAATTCGAAGTTATGATTACCTGTCATCTATGAACATGCGGTAGTTCGGAGGAACTGCGAATGCGCGAGTGGCAGGCACATGTGCCCGGCCGTATCCATTCCAACTGGGCACATGTGCCCGCGACTCAGGCACATGTTTTGTCGCGCAGTCGGCGGGCACAAATTTGTGCCGGGCACTTGTGCCGCGACTTGTGCCAGGCTGTTTCCATTCCTACAAATTCGGAGTTTTGATGTGCCCGGCACAAATTTGTAGGAATGGCAACGTAGCTAAGATAAAAATGAACTGAGGAGTCGTCCCGTTCCCGCTGCTTGCAGCTTCGGTGTGGGCTACCTCTTTCCCGCCACGTATCGCTGCCGCTGGTTCCCGCCGGTCACTCACCCCCTTCCCGCTCCCGCCACTTTCCCGCTTCGGTTTGGACGAGCCTTTAGGCCTAACTCACTGTAATCAATTATTGTATTCCATGTACATCCTTTTTAGCATTGCTACTTTTGTCTTTATGAATGATTTTATACTTATTTGTGAGTTATCTAATGTTTTACAAGTTAACAGAATAATTATTTTCAACCACGGGAACATTAATTTATAATTATAAACTTATAACAGATGCGTTATTAAGGTCAATGACCCAAAACATCATGATTGGGCAATGTTGTATTTTGACGTAAGAATGCAAATCATGGCATTAACTCTAATTTGAATAATATTTCTCCTGGTCCCTTGCCGATTGTATTATCAATGCTAAATAATTGTGGTCAATTCAAATTATATTTTTGATGATTTAAATCTCCTACACAAAAAGACAAAAGTCAAACCAGGCAAGGAAAAGGCCTGCTATTGTAATCCCCCTGCCCCTACCCAGCCATTTGGGAAGTGGTGAAAGTCTAGTCTAAATATAGCTCCAAGGTCTCACCCTCCCCTTCCCCCAACCTCTACTCCACTCAACTGTTGCCATGCTGTTGCTGTGCCCGCTCCTTTCAAGGCCATTGCACAACCCATCCCTCCATTCTAATGTTTTGCCTTTCTAGTTTTTCTATTCTGACTTTTTTAAACATAGATTTATTGCTTACGTAACAGTTCAGTAGTGGAATGGAATTTTCTATTGTGAAACAGTACTTTAAAACAAAATCACTACCGATCATGTCATTCTGTGTCAAGTCCAGATTATGACATTGCCAGTCAGTCGCTGGCGACTGCTTTGAGTTGACCTATTATGTTGTGACAGCTAGAAAATAGGTTAGGACAGCTGCCTCTTGCTTATTTCTACACTGTAGAAATATTTGTATTACTGTAGAATCTACAGTAATACAAATTATAAAGCATTTTATGTAATTTGTAAACACAAGTTACATTTGAACAAATATTGATTTTTACAATTTTTAACCAAACTCGACTCGAAACTGCCGAGTTCAAAGATAAGCTCGAGTTTCAAGGCCGTACTCGACTCGAACTCGAAATCTCGAGTACTCACACACCTCTATTTATCAGTGATATTAACTCCGTCTACGTGACAACAGACCCAATGATTTCATATCATCTCCTTTTCCTGCATGGTGAAATTTAACATGAACAAAGTTCATGAACACGAAAACGTAAGATTCAGCAAATCCTTTTGGACGACCTGTTGCAGATGAAAGAACGGGTAATATTCTATTCAATGATTTCTTCAACCACATTTTGTGTTAGCTGAATTTGCGTTAAACCTCAAGTGTAACCGTCGTTTTTGACGGGTTTGACCTTGTTTAATTAAAGTCAATCCAAAATGACTCGAGCTATCATATTCACGGACACACACACATACATTTGAATGAATAGTGTTATTGGCCTCTGGGGACTTGAAAATGAAAAAGTAAATTGGTCCCGGATCTAGGCAAATAATTCCCAAAAATACTACCTGGCATGAATTTCAGGAACTCCATTATTATATTTAGTTCCCCGTTCCCACATTCCAAAGTCTGGTGTTCTATAGGCTCTTTCCACATAGTACACCAAATTTTGTATAAAAGCCACTTCATCTTGAGTGTATATTATTTGCATTCCAGAGGTGATCATTTCCACAAGGAAGAGAAGGTATAATGAAACCACATCAATCTGTCAAAAAAATAACAATTCATTATTGGAACAGTAGGACAATCAAGTAATATTTTGTCAATAATAGGTTTTTTACATACCTCAGTCAAATAGTCAAAAAATGATATTGCTCAACAGCTTACATGTTTCGTTGTGAAGACAACATTATCAAAGCTTGCAACTCGTCAAAAACACATTTAAAACACGAACACGAACACAGAAAACATTAATACGGTACGAATACACGATTGACATTTAGATAGCGCTATCATAATACTGATTTGGTCCGGCGCGGCGCGGGGCTGGTAGCAGACTGGAGGTCTACGTCACGTCGTCTCCTCTACTGTTATCACTGATGTTATCAGATCTTCGATCAGCTGTTCCTGAGTTTAATATTGTATTAAAAATCGAGTGAGACTGGAACTGTAATTTTTCGTTAAGGATGTGGTCCTTACACTGTTCGTCATTATAAATTTTATAAATCTCGAACTCCTCCAAGGTGTCAAGTTTGCTACCTTTCCCACAGACATGAAGAATTTTTAAACCATCGTCAATGCTACTCATTGAGTGATTTGAATCAACCAGGTGTTGTGCAAAGGCTGATTTTTGTTTGACCATTTTTGGAGTTGGCCTATGTTCTCTGTAGCGGGTTTGAAATGCCCGACCCGTCTGGCCTATATATTTGCATGGGCAATCTGGGCAACTGATCTGGTAAACACCGGTGTTGTTTAATTTATTGCTGGACCCTTTATTATGCAAGATGTTCCTAGTGCGGTTGGTGGTTCGGAACGTTAAGTCAATGCCTTGCCTATTTAGTTCTTTTTTAAGGCTGTTTTCTACAGAGTGGCTTACCAGCCCCGCGCCACGCCGGACCAAATCAGTATTATGATAGCGCTATCTAAATGTCAATCGTGTATTCGTACCGTATTAATGTTTTCTGTGCTCGTGTTCGTGTTTTAAATGTGTTTTTGACGAGTTGCAAGCTTTGATAATGTTGTCTTCGCAACGAAACATGTAAGCTGTTGAGCAATATCATTTTTGGACTTTTTGACTGAGGTATGTAAAAAACTTATTATTGTCTTAACAATATAGTCCAGGGGCCGAAAACATGAATTTTGATTAATATTTTGTAATGAGCCAAAATATTTTTTCAAGTAAAAAATATAAACATGTATTATTCTCTAAATATTGGTTTTCATGACTAGCTAATTCACTACTGGAAGTCTTTTTTTCAATCCAACGGTTTTGGGATCAAAGGATTAATCCCAAGATAACTAGTGTATTATAATATTTATGAATATAAAAAGTGATATAGGTTCGAAACAAGTTATAAAAAACCTTATATCCTGTATTTTTTGGGGCAGTGATGTTTATATAGATAAGGGGATGTGCATAGAGGGCCCTCCCACTGTACAAAACGGTGGCCCTTTTCAGGAGCGGGTCCAGGAATTTAGTTTGGGGGGCGCCACCTAGCCCATTCCCATGAAACACCGGGGCGCCAGGGGGGTATGAAATTTGAGAGAAAATTTGACTTTCTGGTGTTCAAAAACGCAATTTTCAGCCATATTTTTAATATAAATATTCCATATAAAAACTCAATTTCTTATTTATTTCCTTAAATTTTGACAACATTATAAATGTTTTATAATGTTTAACATAGGTACCTTTGAAAAGGTTTTATCTTAGAGAAACGATTTTTTTTTTTATAATTGATTGTTAACTCTAATAGAAAATGATGAAATTTGAAAAAATGTTTTTATTTTTTATTTGTCTACTAACTTTATGTATACCTAGACACTCATTTATATATACCCAGACACCCATTCATGTACAATCTCCTCTCTAATGAAAATTGATAACTAATGTTTCTCTAGTATACCTGCAGATGATTATATTCCTCGTCAGAAAAGACAGCTTCACCGGTGGTGAGGTGAAACTTGCAGTGAAGGGCATAACGACTGCTTTGGTTCTTCTTGAACTGCTCAATGCGGGGAGCTTGCTTGATCCAACATTCAAGAACCCCACGCATGCATTTCACTGCTGACTGTCCTAACTCATACGACTTCCCTCGATCATCATCTATACGTCTTGACAATGGGCAATATAAATTAAATGTATTAAGATATATATTCTAGCTGTATTTTGGAAAAAAAGACACACCTGTTTGAATTTAACATGTTTAATTCAAAAACTGTATTTGATAAAAAAGTTAGGTTTTTGCAAGTCCATAAAAAAATGACATAATAGCAAAAACTAAACATCATCAAATACCCCCACAGCAGCATACCAACCGTCTAAGCGAATTTTCATTTGTCCGAATTGATTTTCAATTAAATCTATTTAAATAACACTAGGTTTAACGAGTACCTAGGTTTGCTGCTACAAGGAAACTAATTAAGTGTGTTTTTTTAGTAAAATATAAATAGCTTAGTATAAAATAAATAAATTTACCAAGTTTGACAAACATATATCCATTAACAAGCAAACTACAACATTTTACAATATTCTCTATAAAAATATCATGGGAATTTTAAAATTAACATTTTTTTAATTTTCTCTGCAACAAATAACCATATAGTGGGGTTGTATAGTTGTATAAGGTGGCAGAATATTTCAGTTCTAGCGGGGATCCTGCAACTTAGGGTGGTGATAATATATAAGACCAAGAATGTAAAACCACCCAGACCCCAATTTTTAAGAGGCGGCGGGAGCCAGCTCGCCCGAGCTCAGCGCTGCCTGCTAGTTTAACATGGAGCGGCGACACATTTTACTTATTTCAGGAAATATATAGACATTTACTAAAAAAAAAGGAACACTAGTAATGTTTGTCACTACATATCCTACTATATAAAGTATAATAAACCATTATAAAGTTGTTTTTTAATTTTATATACATGAAATACGTAATTTGATTTCCCATAAGGATTTTGGTAAATTAGTTCAACTGTAACTAACATATATTTTAATATTTGTAATTGAAATTGGTACCATCACAAACTACAATATTTCAGTTTTTGTTTGAGTGTACCACATCTAAAAAATAAAATCTCTGAGTAATTAATTTGATCGTTTTAAAAAACCTTTGTCATCAAGGGTCCCGCAAGGGTTCACGGACAAGCGAGAGAAAAGAATTTATTTATACAAATAAATACCTCTGCCTTAAAAAATAAGGTTGCCAATGACACAGAAAAATAGTACACATAAAATATCGAAGGATTATACAGCTATAAGACTGATTAATTTTGATGTTTGCCATATAGATGATTTCTCATTATGGTCAATGAACCTCTTAATGTTTCATGAATAATAATTTTCAAAAAGGATCTGTCCAAATCATATTGTTTCCAAAAGTTCACAAAAAATTTTTATAATGTTCCTCTAGAACCAATAAACAATCCAATCACCTCAATTTTTGAAATTTTAAAATTTTGCTTGAAATATTCAAAGGTAGAATCATAATTTTTTTTCTTTTCTTCATTTACTTCGTTAGCTTGATTTATGTTTGTTTCAAATCAAATTGTAGGATCGAGAATTATGCCTTTGTTAGTATCTCTTTCGATTAATAAAATATCTACTCTTCTGGTGCTTCCGTTAGAAGAAAGACAGTGTACTTCTCCTTGCACTTCCCATGTATTATACCTTTTTCGGAAGGCATTTGCTATGATACTTCTTATTTTGTGGTGCCTTGTGTTTCTTAGAAGTTCACCAAACGGACAGAAGCCAAGGGCATGTGCAAGGGTTTCAATCTCACCACAGGCATGCCTGCAGCGGTTATTGCCCTGACTTCTGCCGTGGAGAACACGCACTGGCACCACATTTGCAATCATTTTTATACTGTCTTTCCACTCAGATTCCGACAAGCCTTCTTTATTAATAATACTTTTATTTCCCGGAGTATAGTCCTTGAAAAGTTCAACACCTTTACCCTTCTGTTTTAAACTTTTCCAATTTTCAAACTCTTTTTCTCTTAAGTCATTTCTTAATTTTTGGGTATTTATTGTTTGGTTACGATCAATTTCTTCTAGGTGTAATTTTTTTAAACAAATTGTTTCTATCCGTTTAAATTTGTCTTCATTTATTGTATAACAATTTTTAACCCGTCTGAGTATTTGTATAGAATTAAGTTGTTGAATATATGCTTCCCATTGAGCCTTGATTAATCCAAGTCCTTTATATTTTTTTGGGCTATCTTCTTCTTCTATATAAAATCCAATGTATGTTTGTTTGTATGTTTGTCCTTTATGGACTCCGAAACCGCTTGACGGATTGTAATGAAACTTTCAGGTATTATTAAGCATTATTTAAGGATGGTTTGTGTGAAGTTTGGTGTAGATCCGTCAAAAGGGCTCCGCCCCAGTGGCTCTGGAGTTTCCCATGTTAACCTTATGAGTATTCATATTTAAATGGAATCAAAGAATCTTAACAGCTGGTTCAACTAAAGAATTTGATTCTGTGATGTTCAATAGCATTAAAAATTTAATAGGTTTACCAACAGGGTGCAGCACTATTATTTTTTTAATATATGACAACAGCTAATTTGCAACCAAAAGGTGAGTGACCGTAGCGACCAAACTTCAACCAGGACGTGATTGAGCCATGCGAACAAGCTCATCTTGAAAATGAACGAGCATTTGACATAAAACCACATTAGGACAGGACGAAGTCTGTCGGGCTAGCTAGTATAACATAAAATCTGGAGTGTCAGTTGGTAAGCTTAATATTTCTTTAACACTACTTTTAACCAGTTTGTCTAAGTCAGTTAAAAATGTTACTGGTAATTTATGGAGTGGAGCATTTTGAAATGGATATATTAACGTTGGCCATATACATTGATTAATTATATTAAACTTTTGGCTTGATAAAAGTAATGTAGTCGATGTTAGTCTTTCTAATTGGGATTTGAATTGTTTAATTATTCTCTCTTTATTAAAAACGATCCCTTGGGAAATGTTAACACCTAAATACTTTATGTTTTCACTATCTGAAATACTGTTTATGAATAAGTTTTCATCTAACCAGATATTACTTTCAACTAGAAGCCCTTTTTCAATCACGATAGACTGACATTTGTTGGGGTTTATTTCTAGTCCGATCGAATTAAGTAAATTAATGGCCATTGAAGTAAGGGTAGCAACACTTTGTTTGTCTTTACCAATAATAACTAAATCATCAGCAAATCCCATTATGGTTAGTCTATCTAAATCCGGCAGAAGTTCGTATCCGTAAGCCATTTGAACTTCTTGTTCAATTAGTTCATTTAAAATGAAATCTGTGCACAAATTATACAGTGTAGGGGATAAAGGTGCTCCTTGTAGTAACCCTCGTTTGAAGGGAATCGCTTTTGTTTTACTTCCACCAGTTTCAATAATAGTTTGGTTGTCTAACTGAAGATTTGCTATCAAAGTTTTTAACTTCCTAGGAATGTTATGTGATTCTAGTGTTTTAACCAGGTGTTCGTGCCCAACACAATCATAAGCTTTGTTAATATCTAGAAAAACCAATGAAACTTCTTTTTCCTCTGTCTTAGCTTTTGTTAAAATTGAGTTCACTATTTCTACATTGATTGTTGTTCCTGGTGTACTAGTAAAACCTCTTTGGTTTGGGTTAAAACGTATATGACCTCTCAGTCTTTTGTCTAGAACTCTTTCAACACTTCTTCGTAAGACAGAGCAAATAGATATAGGTCTCCAGTTTTTAGCATCTTTAACGTCACCTCCTTTGTAAATTAAAACTGTTCTTGCAAGTTTAAAACAATCAGGGACCCAACCTTTTAGCATCATGATTGTACATATCTTTGCCAAAATAACCGACATTTTCTTACATTTTATAACTCTCATTAGCACTTTGTCTACACCAGGAGAAGTGTCAACAGCAATTGATTTCATAGCATTCATCATTTCTTCAGCAGTGACAATTATTTCTTCAAAGTCTTCTTCTTCATTAAAAGTAGTGGAATGTGTGTTTTCGTAGTGATCTCTAACTGATGTATTTTGCTTAGCAAAACGATTGTGGAACTCCTTGTACAAATCATTTGTAGATATCTTACAAGATACATCGCCAGATCCCATAACCATCCTGCAAGCTTTTTGCCTTTGATTATAATACAGATATTGTGCTTTTTCGTACAAATATTTTTCTTTTCTTTTAGACTTTTCTCTTTTTGAAGTTCGCATTGGATTGCTTGAGGTTTGATAGGTTTTACCATTATTCAGACTTAGGTTTGATTTTCTTAAGTTGTAATACTTCATTGCAGGGTGTTTAGGTCCAGGCAAATAGTTTACAGCTGAAGCTAAAAATGTAGTAAACTCGTTCATTTTTTATTCAACTGTTCAATGTTATCTAGATCTGTTATTTTATCGAATTTTTCTTCCCAATCATACAACATTTTTTGAAAGTTAGTGTCTTTTGATTTGGTTTCAACTTTGTGGGTAGGCCTAACCTTTTCTTGAAAGTCATCAACGTATTTTTTAATTATTTTATCTCTATGTACTGTTGCATGGGCTCTGCTTATGTGAATAACTAGACTTTTTACCGATTTTCCACAATGGGGGCATGTTATACTTTTCTTTTTACTTGGAACAATGTCAGTATTTTGTGCAAAGTTTTCAATGCTTTTCATGCCATTTATATTATTATTTGTATTGTTAAGGTTATCAGTCAATTGGTTATTAGGTTTAAGTGACGTGTGAAAATCTGACTCTGAGTCACTATCATTATCATCGTAATATTTCAAACAAGGTCTGGTGTACTTAGGATCACGCGAAGGAGGTATCACTACAGCAAATTCATTTGTAGATGAAGGGCCAGGTTCTTGACTGTAACTGTAAGTGACTTTTTGTATAGACCCATTTTGCAAAGATACCTTTGATTTGTCAGTTGATGCTTGGTCCTTATGTGAGGCTTTAATGTGTGAGTCTAATCTAGTAAATGATTTAAGACAGAAAGGACATTGTTCTTTTGTAATATTTTCTCCTGTAGGACCTGGATTTTGGTGTATATCACCACATAAAAGCATAAGAAGCACAATTGTGTTGACTAAGTGTATTGCTTCAAATGATTCGTTCTTAAGCAGCAATGTCCAGTACTT